CAAAATCTATGTATCTATATGTAGATGAATTATCTTTTAGAGAATCTTCAGGACAGTATCTATATAAAATATAACAAAACAGAAAAGGCAAATTTAGGTATTTGTATTAAAAACACAGCTGGAACTATACGAGATACATTTAAATACATAATACGGCACTCCACCACTGTGCGCTTTTGAAGACACTTTGCCTCGTACAACCAACCTGTAGAATAAGTAATCGTTTGCGGTATTTCCGGACCGATACAACCTTCAAACCATCAAGAAAAGAGCATACTCCTTTGTCAAAGGCCGGCAACGCGCTTGTGACTCCTGAGCTGCAGGCGTTCATGGGCGGCGGTAGTCGCTTTCTATCAGGTTACCCGTCTGCTCGTTTGCTCCCCTTTCCAAATAAAAAAATATACGAAATTGTGTATTTTTTTAATATTTCGAAAAAAAAGAACTGCCAGATTATATGTCTATCTCCTGCAGATAAGAGCAATAACGCATTTGAAACGATATCACTTAATAGCACGTGATATCATCCCTACACTTAAAATTCAGAACCAAGTTTATCATATAACCCGATCATTACACATATCTGCTAATCTATTTTACTCACATTCAGCAACAATAACATGGAAAAACCAGTGATATTAGTCAAATTAACCAAATTTATGATTAAAATCTTCGGATTCTGCAAAAGCCAGTTCTAGTTTCAGATATACGATATTGGTGCTAATTTTATTGTTCGAAAACTCTCTAAACTAAACTTAAAATCACTAAAAAAACTTTAAGTCCTGTCAAATACTACGTTTTCAGAACAGGAAACGTTATTTTACAGGACTAAAAAAAAATTTTCTGATTTTTAGTTTAGTTTAGATAGTTTTCGAACAATAGAATTAGCACCATTGACCTGCGCTGATTTTTGTGGATTCGATCCCCACATGGGACAACACTTCGTGTGATCTACAAACAGTCGTTCTGTGTTTGAATGTTCTTTGTGTCCGTTTCATGTATGTTTGTAAACTTTGCCACTTGGTCGATCTTACATATGAGCAGCGCTGTGTAGCATTACATCTTCTACCTTTGTACACGTACATTAGGCGTAATATTTCAGACCTATCATTCCTACTCAGTCTTGCTCAGACGGCCCGAAGTACGTCGAGGCACCAGGAATTTCCTTTCTAGGGTACACCTGGTTCCCCGACTACTGGTACCTGAGATGGCGTGCGGTTTTAGTCGGTTAGAGTCCGACATTACCACCGGTAAGTGGTATCCGAGGGGAATTCCGCACAGAAAAAAAAGGGTAAGATCGATTGCCCTAATCTACTCACTATGATTAGGTTAAGGACACCCGTTAGAAGGTTGCGTGACTACTCTTTACTTTATCTTCCGTCGAGTCACAACAACTTTAGGAAAAATAGCTACCTGCCTAGAGTTTTCACCAAGTAGAATAAACTAATAATATAATAATAATATTGTACCACATTCACACAACGCCATCTAGTCCTAAACTAAGCAGAGCTTGTACTATGGGTACTAGACAACTGATATAAATACATATATACTTTTTTTTGTAAATACATACTTATTTTACATAGAAACACCCAGACCAAATCAAACATTAAATGTTCATGCACACAAATGTTTGACTTGGGCGGGAATCGAACCCGCGACCTTTGGAATAGCAGTCCGTTACACAAACCACTACGCCATTTGGTCGTCGAAACTAAATAGTGACAGTGGTTTTGATCAAAAAGATTTTTTTTTTCTGTGCGGAAATCCCCTCGGATACCACTTACCGGTATTATATAAATATTCTCTAGTACTACCAGTACTTGTACTAAAAAAGTACAAGTACTGATAGTGCTTCATAATATTTAACTGTCAGATTTGCTGATAGTGTTGACTGCAGTACTACAGTGCGAATTGTGACTCTTGGTTTTACATGTGTTTTCATTAGTATTTCATCTATTTACATCTTTAATCATTTATTTAGAATGTAACTTAAGTAGAATGTTTCTTGTGTATATGTGGAAGCCTGTGTACAAAGGTACAAGATGTAATGCTACACAGCGCTGCTCAAATGTAAAATCGACCAAGTCACACAGTTTGAATTTGAAACCTAAGTAACGAATAAATCTCTTTTGTATTGTCTCAATCTCATTGGTGTAACATCATAGTATGGGTTCCAGATCTGAACAGCGTATTCCAAGTGACTCCAAACGTAAGCAGTGTTTTCTGTATGGCTCCAGTAATTTATAACCATTTACCGCAACAATGGAAAAACTTGAGCATAAGTGCATACAAGAACAAGTTAAAAGAATTTTTAGAAATGAAAGCATACTATTCTGTAACTGAGTTTTTAACGGAGAAAATATAATGGAATGCATGTTTTTAATAACTACAATATACCTTCTATTAATACAGCTTTTTAATAAATATGATACATTTATTTATTACGATTATGACATTTTTTCTTTTTAATAATATAATTGTAATTAATTAATTGAAATTGACATAAAACGGAATTCTGACCTCGTATGATGTAAATAAGCTCAAACTCGTTATTAATGTTATCTTATTGCATGCCTAAAGGTAGGATGTGGCAGAAAAAAATATTAAAACTGTAACACCTAATTGTAAACCCATGTTCGCAATGAAAATAAACTGATTGATTGATTGATTGAAGCACAGTACAAAACTTTGATAGTTTTCATATTTCTGAAATCACCAGAACAACGAAATATAAAACATATTATAGATACATTAATTATAATCAGACATAACTATCTTTTTTTTTTAGTTTGGTGCGTAAACAAGTAAAATGTAATATAATATAGATATTTCACCAAGGTCATATTGTGTAAACACAAAACTGTCACGTGACACATAGACGACAACAAAGAAAATACCGCGGTAATTTAGGTAAACCTCTTATAATACCGTTACCTTGGAGTTATCCGCAAATTTCCCGCGGGAAATGAACTTCCCTTCAATGATGACACATGTACGTAGTATCCGTGAGGGAGTGTAACAGGTATCGATATTTTATTATTCGGGTATAGAAACAGCGTCCGTAGTACCACGACACTAATACTGAGTTATGAGTTGTATGGTTAGATTAAATAAGGAAAATACTTGATTTCTTCTTCTTAAACGACTTCTTTTTTCCTTTAAATATTAAGCGATATTTGTGAACTGATACCATGGTTATTTTTTAAATTAAATTAGTTTAAGGTGAGTATGGCGGATGAGGGAGAGCTCCCAACCCCAGCTCTTGCAGCTTGGAGACTGTCTGTTGCGCAGTATGGGGTCGCGCGTTGTCGTGAAGGAGCAGTGGGGACGACCGATTGACAAATGCTGGTTGCAGATGTGACCACCAGACCTTGCACCTACCGACTATTACTTTTTCCAAAATTTAGACAACTTTTTAGTGGGTAAAAAATTCAATTCCCGAGAGGCAGTACAAAATGCCTTTGAAGAGTTGGTTGCCTCCCGTCCAGCTGATTTTTACAAGAAGGGCATCAATAAACTGCCCATGCGTTGGCAAAGATGCGTCGATTGCATGGGTGATTACTTCGAATAACAGAAATAAAAAAGTTTGAAAAAATAAGTACTTTCACTTATTGCATACAAAACGGCAATTTCATAGGTAAAGACCTATTATTTATATTGTTCAACTAAATCTATGTAAATGGATTGTAATTACCAAATAGATTGAATTGAAGCATTGGCAGTGGATGTGCACTATATTTTTCTTGTGGCAACACTGACAACATACGCTCGCGCCCCACCTCGAACGAAAGGTGGGAGAGGCGTCGTCGAGCGCTGAAATTTTTGTTGTAAGCAGTCTTATCGGAGAAGTCGCGGTAGTCAAACAAGTATTAAAGTTGGTACGAATAAACCTTATTAAAGTTAGTAATTTAATAAAAGTAAATACTAGTAGCGTGTGAATACTAAGCATAACGCAGAGGTTATGAAATGTTGCCATTAATTTAAGAGTATTCTAACATAGTTGAATTCACCAATAGATTTATAATCTAATTAAATAAAGAAGTAATTAAAAGCAAGCCATTACACCTAATCATGTTCATGTTCGTCAATAACTCTGATTTCCAATTTTACTTACACTTATTTTAGTAAACAATAAATTCATAACAATTAAAACATCCCAAACTAAGAGAGACCCTGTGCTATGTATAACCACACTGTTGATAAACATACTTCAATATTTCTAATTAGTTATATAAGAATACTAGCTGACCCGGCCACGCGTTGCTGTGGCTAAAGTTTTTGTCATATTACATTATAGTAAACAATCTAAGAGGAACAATAAGAGAACATCAGTCACGGAGTCCACTATGCTTTTTCACACAGATGGTATTTGTAAAAAAATATGGTGATCTCCTTATTTGACTTTCTACTACTATAACCCTTTAGTACAATGAAATTATTTACGAACAAAGACGAAAATGTTGATGTTGGTATACAAATTCACTGGATTGAGATTTGAAGGGGAAGTACATTGAACACAATTAATTAAAATGTTCTTACACTTGATATTAAGCAGAAATCAATAGGTACAAAATAAAAATTTATCAGATTTATTATTTCCATTTAATTTTATAACAAAAATAAGTATATTACAGTATAATACAGTAAATAACATGTAACGCTTAAACTCATGAATAAGGTAGGCAAGGCAGACAGTCTTAAACTTTTAAACATTAATATCTATTTTTTTGAATTATAAATACTTTCAATTTCAATTTAATGTAACACCAATCGGTGCACAATGTTTTTGGTTAACCAGTCTTTAGCTAACACAAATAGATTCGACGGTTTCCCAACACGTGAACACGCAACATATAGTTGCCCATGAGAAAAACATGGATTTTCCAAATCGAAACCACAAATGGACATTGTTTGACCTTGAGATTTATTTATAGACATGGCGAAAGCTAAACGAATTGGAAACTGTAGCCTTTTGAAGGGTATGGTAGAAACTGATGGTATCATCGGAATACGTGGCAGCAGGACCACTTTTCCTTTAAACTTCCCAGCCAAAATGGTTGCTTCAAGAATGTTTCCGTGGTGGTGGTGATCTTTTTGATGACCAAACGCGTACCGTTACATAATTGAGGTGGATTCAAATTACGGAGGAGAATAATAGGGGAACCAATCTTTAATCGAAGATTATGTGGTGGCATTCCAGGGATATCTAATGAATTTAAAAATTCAATCGGAAAATTTACACTTTCATTTTCATCAACAACAGTATCGATTGATTTAAAAGACATCAGATCGCCTGGTAACAACTGTTGTATCTGGAAGTTAATTTCGTCAACATCAACGTTTTTGGCTGCCAAAATCGCCCGTTGAGTAAGCCATTCATGATTCAAATAATTATTCTGTATATCCGGGAAAATACTCTGAATCAATTCATTTTTATCCTGAACAACAGTGCAAAAATTGTCTGGTAGTTTAATGCATTGCGTATTTGGTTGCAGTTCTATTTTACCGTTCCCAATATCTAGTAGTTGTTCGGAAAATATTTGTGCTGATGGATCATTTTGCAATTGTACTCGCATATTTATGGTCAATCGAAGTGTTTCAACACTTCGCCATAAGAATGATTGTTTCAAACATGCATTAATCTCATCCACGAAAGTAGAGCGAGGTATAACCGGTAAGGTCTGCCGGAAGTCACCAGACAAAAGTAAGATAGCACCACCGAAAAGTTTATTATTGCTGTTTAAATCTTGCATAGTTCTGTTTAATGCTTCAAGTGAATATTTGTGTGCCATTGTGCACTCATCCCAAATTATTATAGAACTCTTCCGCAACACTGCAGCTATTCCACTATTCTTTTTGATGTTACACATTGCATCTGGTTTATTATGAACTTCCAAAGGCAGCTTGAATGTTGAATGTGCTGTTCACCCACCATCCAGTAAAGTAGCCGCAATGCCTGACGATGCTACTGCTAATGCGATTTTTTGTTGCGACCGTATTTTGGCAAGAATCAACGATATTAAAAATGTCTTACCGGTTCCACCGGGTGCATCCAAGAAAAAAAAACCGCCTTGTTCAGCAGCAACAGCCAGCATAATCCGATCATAAATAATTTTTTGTTCTGCTGTCAGTAATGGTTCACTGTTCATGATAATTGTTGCTAAACTTCCATGGTCATATTGATTTTCTCGTTGTAAATCGGTATTGACTAAGTCGGTGGCTGGACGATTAGGTGATGGCATACCATAATGATTAAGTGGTAAATTTGAAATAAGAACACATAAATCCTCGATCAAGACCAATGCTTCATTGTACATCTCTGGTGTATAATCTATGTTTTGGCATTGATTTGTTTGTCTAATTCGGTGCAAGATGTCTTCTGTCATACAATTTGTATATTTTTCCCACAAAGTTTGTGCTTGCGAGGGATAACATGTCGTCAAAATAATTTCAAACAACTGACGAATGTTATTCGGTGTTGATTTCAACGCAGCATCAGCAAGCGTTAAGTCCCAATGGTTATCGTCTTCTAGCAATTGCAGTTCACGACATGCATCCTGGTATGTATTGAATACTCGACCATTAACTGTTCGTAAAAATTCAAAAGACGTTGGTCTGGGAACATTCACCAATAACAAACGTAAATAGAAGCACTCACGTTGCTTTGGATGTACCGTGTAAAGTCTCCCCAATGTCTTAGCTTTGAATATGCCTGTAATGGAAGGATGTGGTTTTCCTTGTTTCCGTGGCTCCCATTTTTTACTGGATTTGTTCCATGTGAAATAACGTGGAACATCACCATACACCAATGTTTTCGCGAATTGGCCAAAAACATCAGGTTTTTGACACAATGTAAAAAATTCAGTTAGAGTCGTTTTCGGAGCTTCGAACGCTCTTTGGAGAACATTTTCTTCAGTGAAGTATACACGTTGACCGTTTTCAAGATATATTGCCAGATGTTGGACAGCAGGATCTCTTTCGTGGATGGGAAAGCTGAGAATATGCCAAATAGCTTCATTGCTGCTAATGTATCTGCCCATTTGGTATCGTGCTATTTCGTCATTTTTATTTATGTTTTGTACTTCAAATATGGCCAAATCACTGCCTTTGTTTACATATTTACAAATATACTTAATTGATTTAACAGAACTGCAAAGCTCAACATTGATATGAGCTTTGTAAGTTTTTGAAAGTAGTGGTGAGTATGGTACCACCCACTGATTATCAAACTCAACTTGATTTGGAAAGTTCGGCAGTCGCATTGTAAATGTGTGGCCACCATTCTCAGTACTTCTGCGGCGATACATTGGATAACCATCAATATCCGTGATCGTGTCATTCGTATGCGGCTTTGGGAACTTTTTTTTACATTTTCCATTTTCCATGCACGGTGACGTCATGTTGAAAGCACCGCATGGCCCATGGATCATGTGTTTGGTGACAATATCAAATAATTCTTGATCAATTAATGGGTCTGGAATTTCGGCTGAAATTATTTGATCGATTTCTTCAGGACGGATTCTATCTTTAAGCCAAACCAAAATGTGGGCATGAGGCAAACCTCGCTTTTGCCACTCTATCGTATACAGCCAACAACGTGTGATACCAAAAATTGAATATTTAACAATAAAATCAATTAAGGATTTCAATTTTTGTTTAAACACACGTGCAGTTAAATCATGACGATGAATGGCTTGTTGTCCTGGCAATAGTAAAGTTTGTATCTCTTCCCAATTCGGATTACATGTGAATGTAATAAATAAATCCGGTCGGCCGTAATGACGTACGTATGTCATCGCATCTTGTATGTATTCCTGCATGTTCCGTGGACTGCCGATGTAGCTTGAAGGTAAAATGAAAGCATTACCCTACAAAATAAATTTAATTAATTTTATAGCGTCAACAACACGTGGTAATTATGCTGTTAAAATGTAGCTTATATGACACGTTCGTAGATTTACCATAGCAGCGCCATCTATTGATTACTTACTCAACCCAGTCGAAAGGTATCGACATCTGTTAGAAGCATTTGGAGTTAACAGATAATTGTGACTGTCAAATAATAACAGACAAATAATTAGCAATAAATTAAAATTGCGACTATAATTTGAGATTTAAACTATCCTATCTCTCAAGTTGGATCGAACTGCACGTGGTGTGCGAATTTTATTATAATCGGTTTAGTGGTTTAGGAGTCCATTGAGGACAAACATTGTGACACGAGATTTATATATATTAAGATGTTTAAGATAAAGTACATCTAGACACGGACAACAAAGGATCATGCTAATCATACCATTATTGGTCGTGGGTGGGAATCGAACCTACGACCTCTTGTGCATAATGAAGTTGAATGAAACAAATGAATGTTATAAAATATATAGCTTAATAGGACAACAGCACTTCAAAGAGAAGGAAAACTTGAAACAAACCCTATACCAACCCGTCTGGCCAGCGTGGTATAGTAGGCCAAAACCTCCTTTCTAAGGAGAGGCCTATGTCCAGCAGTGGACTGTTATAGGCTGTTGATGATGATGATGAAATTGTTAAGATAATATAACTATACTTAACAAGTATTTTCAAATCTTCACAAATACTTACTTTTGTTTATCAAGATTTGAAACCAAATTTCCACCAACTGGTAATCCGAAAAAAAGCAAAAAATATATTTCCCAAACCAATTTTATACTAAGGAAGAGCTTAATGCCAACCCACATCTCAAAGTGGATACGGATCAGGTTCCCAAAAATTCACCTCGACGTTTAGGTGCGAAGTGAGAACAAACATATTTATTATTATAAGCATTTCATAAATACCTTCCAACAAAAACGTTGATGTTTATACATACAGTATCACAGACGCCATTTTTTGTAACATACATATATACTTTCGGAAGATTTATCCTCAGGCAAAGGATTTTATACAATACTCACAACAAAAATATGCTTAGAAAAATACTATACTTTTCTTCCAAAAGTTATAGGCCGCAGGATATATTTCATTATTCAGTCACAGTAGCGATGTTCGAAATGTTTGATCAATTCTTCGGACAAAGACAAAACACTGGATGTGTTTTGCTTACCTGAGTGTTTTCACAAGGATTGATATTTTCTCTACAAAATCTGGTATGTAAAGATGTATTGTGCAGGTCAATGACTTTAGGGTGAGAGTGTATAGGTATATCTAACGTCACATCAGAAATGTGTGTTAACACATTACGTCATTAAAGGTTATGTTAGAAAATATGTGTGCTTTTTCCATTCTTCAAAAGAAGCATCAACACTTTGTTATTGTTGCCCGTCTGTTTGTCTCTCTAGAAAATTGACTGGGACTTAATTGAGAGTAGATTATGTTAGTAATTCCCGTAAAATACAATGGGCAAACATCTTTGGTAATCAATTTCGGAAATTTACGAACTCCTTACTACAATATTTGTGTGATACCAAAACCCATGGAGAGCGAGGTAAACTTGTCTGCCTGTATAAGCCGAAAACATCGGATTTTTGAGTATTATAATATGCATGTATTTACAGAACAAAATCAATCTAATTTCTACGTTTTTAAAACTCGTACTTAACTTTATAAACTCGTAATACAAGCTGTATTTAGAATCTGTCTAGGTAGCGCTGTATATCATGTCCTAGTATCTAATATTGTATACTATCAAAGGTTTATATTTGTCGTTAGATACTTGTCCGTAAGAGCCCTTAGTCCTTGTACCTACATCACGTGTCCAAAAGTCCACTTTAATTAAAAGCTAGGACGACATTAATTACTAAACAAATAAGCCGCACTACACATTTTAACCATATCCCTGGGGGCCAGGCATAAACTCATTTATACCTATTTGGGCAATGTAAAGGGACATTCCTTTTAAAAGTAAAACAATTAATGTTGTTTTGCTTAAATGTGATACAACTTTTTCAATTAAGAAGTTTTCAAATATTGTAAATAACCGATTTGATAAGAAAAAGAATGGAAACGAGGGAACTTTAGACTTGAGTTGCTGCAGTTAAAACATGATATTAATTGATATACTGCTACCTGAATCTGCTGTTAGCTGTTAGATTTTTTGGTTTGGTTTAATTGTACAAAGCGATGACGAAAAAGAAACAGATCTAGATGCCTAACTATTTACGATCCCCTATTTTCTCTTTAATACAAAAAACGTGTGCGTCTCGGGACGACCTAAGTTGAACTATTTAATATTGAAATTGTTTAACTTGAGAAAAGCTTAGGTTATTCCTTAAACTTTATGTAAAACGTCTGTTCGAAATACGGCTAGCGCTGTGGGTTAGAGAGAGTAGGAGCCTGCCTACCGCTGCCGTATGCATGAGAGAAAGGGAAGCCAGACAGACTGGCGCCGTAATGCGTTACGTAACGAAGCGGTTTAGCCTCCCATAAGAACTTATCACTTCAAAAAGCTTATTAGAAGATAAAGAAGATTCTTATAATCCTTTTCCATCCATAACAATATTTACTTTACTATATTAGGTACAAATGTTACTTTAAAGAACCAGTTTTTGAAACACAAAGTTTAACATAATTCAAATAACAAGTAAGAGAATTCTTATAATGAAATTCAATTTATTAAGAGATTTGAGACAGTAATTTGTTACGCAAGTGAATTAAAATGGTAACCTTGAGGAATGCGTAACAGGTGTGTATTAAGTTGGGGGTTGACTCCGGTGTCGCACATAAATATATAATCAGTATTCAAGACGCGTGTTTGATTTGATATGTGTTTTTGGGGTAATAAGCTTCGTGTTTATGTATTTTGGTGGCTGTTTCTTAATAAAGTCACTGCTGGGTATCGCGGAATATGAAGGCGTTACGGAATTCTTTTTTGTTTGGTTGAAGCAAAGATATTAAAGACATATTGTGTATATGAGTATATAATATAATAGCTTCATAATATTGCTCAAGGCAAACTCTTATAGAAACCTTTTATTAAATCTTTGACAAAAGAAAACCGGTGCAGGGACGTTAATTGGTAATAAATTATCACATCATCACATCAACAGCCTTTAATAGTCCACTGCTGGACATAGGCCTCTCCTTACAAAGGAGCTTTTGGCCTACTATACCACGCTGGCCAGACGGGTTGGTATAGGGTTTGTGTCAAGTTTTTCTTCTTTTTGCAGTGCTGGTGTCCTGCGTTGTTTTGCGCCCTTAGTCGTCTCTTACGACACCCACAGGATGAATTCGGGTAGTGACATTCCGTATTCTTAATCCGTCACTAACGGACAAATAAATAAATAAATTATTCTGATACTACAACATAAAACATTTCGACAGGCATAAACTGCTCAGCATATTAAAAGAATCAAATTTTAATTATTAATTAGATCCAGTTGCCATCTGGTGTCTTTTTTCAATTCTTTATTATAAATGTTATCGTTTTATACACATGTAGTGATCACACACGTGTTTAGGAAAATGTAAGAAATTAACTTGAAGTAAGAGGCGAAGAGGTTTACATAAGGGATGTGCCAAGTCTCGAATGGGAGAATGAGATAGGATTGCACTGCTAGCATGTTTGTTATGTAATTCTAGAGACCACTAGGACAGCTGCGAAGACTACCCGGAGCCTACAGACATAAACGATAAATAATGAAAACAAAAAGAGTAATTTAAACTAAGAACTTATTTATGTTGCGTAAATTTTGTTTTAAAAATATTACTTAAACTCGATTATTTTTTCTAAAACTTCTTGTGTAGTACTTAAAATTGGGTATCAAATAGCATATACTTACTACAGAAATATGATAATCCTATAGTATAATAATATAATAATATATAATATATCTCACATACTCACACACGGCCGTCTGATCCCAAACTAGGCAGAGCCTGTACTATGGTAACCAGACCGCTGATAAACATACTTATATATTTCTAAATACATACATATTATAGATAAATTACACCCAGACACAGAACAAATGACCGTGCTCGTCACACAATATTTGTCCTGGGTGGGAATTGAACCCACGACCTCCGGTTTAGCAGTCAGGGTCACTAACCACTAGACCAACAGGCCCGTCAAGATGTTACAGTAACAGAGATGTTAGTATTTCCTTAGACATTTCAACCTGCCGTACACTAAGAGTAAAATATTTTACAAAAATAAGCGCTCGTTTTCACGCCAATTACGTCCGTGGTTCTTGAAAAATAGCTGCTGCAATTTCTGTTTAATTCCGACTTATCCTTTTTTCATCGAGAAAATTAAAGTCAATGGAATAATTGAGAGAATCGAGGGCGGTTGTTTTATGTCCTCTTGGGTTAAATTTTTAAGATATTGCCTCTTTTTTCTTTGTTCAGTTGGAGGAAAACGAGTTTGGGTATTTTTATTTTAAATAAATTGAGTAACCTTGGAATATTTAAATAACAATACGAATTTACTGGTATGTTATATATCTAGGCTTTATATAATCTTTATTTGAATAAATACTTTGTTTCTAGCGAATTAATCATAACGAAAGTACCTATTAATGCGTGATCATAAAGTTGACTGTTATGGCTTCAAAGTCACAATGTCTACCGATTTATTGGGTTACTAACTTTTGCCCACGGCTCCACCTGCATTACGGTAAAAAGTAGCCTATGTCACTCGCTGATAATGTAGCTTTCCATTGGTGAAATAATTTTTCAATTTAGTGTAGTGATTTAGGCGTGAAAGCGTAACAAACCAACGAGTATGAAAGTATGGATGTTAGTATAGTAACAAATGCGAAAGTCAATGTCAATTTTCATATTATATAAATAGTAAGGAGCTGTATTCTTTATGTCATAATTTTCCATTGTTAGAGGTGTTTTT